TCACACCAACTCAGCTTAGAGGGAACACTGGTGGCAAGTTGGACCCCCTCCCCTGCCAGCCGGGGTGGCTCTTTGCTCCCTGGTGAAGCGCCCCCCCCCACGGGGTCCGTTGTTTGGGGTGGGCCTCTTCAAAGGGCTTCCCTCCTTAAGAGTGACGGTGCCAACGGGAGGGAGGTGTGAACGGAGGGGCCTGGGGCCGGGCGCCCCTCTCTGGCCCTTTCCCAAGGCTGGCAAAAGGGCCGGCGGCTGGCACCTTCCCCTGGGCCCTCCCTGCCGAAAGGCACCTCATCCATCACCGGCCTGACAGGGGGGGGGCAAGTTTTCCACCTCAGGGAGGCGGCGAGGAGGAGGGGGGTCTCTTTGTGAGGAAAGGGCTCTGGGGTGACGCTCCTTGTGATCTCGGAGCAGCTCGGCAAATGGCGAGGAGGGTGCCTCAAAGCGGTTTGCATCAGCCGATCCATCACTCCGGAGGGGGATCCGCGGCCTGAGAAGAGGCAGGCAGGAACCAGTTTCAGCCCTTGGGGTGTGTGTGTGTCTGTAGGACTGGTCTCCACCGCTGCAGAAGTGTGTGTGTGTGTGTGTGTGTGTGTGTGGAACCCCTCTTCTGGTCAGCTGAGGGCCCAGCAGGGGCTCCCCGCCTGGAGCAGGTGGTCCTCAGGGGGCCGCTCTTGGCCTAACCCTGTGGGGGGGGGGAAGAGAGGGTTTCCAGGACTCTGGGCACTCCCAGGGCAGCCAAGCAAGAAGCCTGGTGGCTCTCTCCAAGAGCAAGCCAAGGGGCGAGGGGAACACGCAAGGCCTTGGAGGTCAACACCCGCAAGTGTTCCCTCTCAGCTCGCTCACAGTTCTTTAGCCTCCGGCTCACACATTTTTGTCTCAGCTGAGGAAGGAGGGCTCCAGAGCCCAACTAACTTCTGCAGCAGCCAAAGTCGCTCGCTCACAGCTTGAATGCCTGCAGCTCACAGAGTAGAATTTTTGCTCACAGGACTCCACAGCTTAGAAGAGGAGGAGGAGACTGAATCTATACCCCATGGCCCTTCACTACCCAAAGGGCTCTCAGAGCGGCTGACAAACTCCTTTCCCTTCCCCTCCCCACAACAGACAGACACCCTGTGAGGTCGGTGGGGCTGAGAGAGCTCTTGACAGAAACGGCTCTTTTTCAAGGACTGCTCTTGTCAGAACTACGGCCTGCCCAAGGTCATCCAGCAGCTGCAAGTGGAGGAGGGGTGGGGAATCAAACCTGGTTCTCACAGATTAGAGTCCTCACTCTTAACCACTTAGAGGGAGCATTGAACTCCGGCACTTGGATTTGGGCTGGGGGGGGGGAATGGGCACAACTGGGGACAGCAGAATCTCTTGGGGGGGGGCCAGGCTGAGTCTGGCTGCTGGACTGGAGCGTCTGGGGCCCCCCCCTACTGACTGACGGTGGCTCCCTGGCCACCAGTGAAGGACCCCCACCCACCCTGGCCACCCCCTGAACCCCTCCAGCGGGAAGGGCGGGCGGAGGAACCAACCGGGAAAGGCTGCAGGAGAAGCCGGGCTCCTAAGGCTGAGCAAACCATGACTTTCTCTGCCTGGCGTGAAGGTCCTGATCCTCTTGAGAACTTGAGCAGTTGCACGGCCCCTTCTGTGGGCCTGCCTTGAAACTGTGCTGGCTGCAGAGCCGGGGTGGTGGTGGTGGTGGGGGAAGAAACGCTTCTTTCCTAGCAGAGCTATCCCAAAAAACCACAAGAAGGATGGAAGCGAATTCCACCAGGCACCTTAAAAATCTTCAAGCAATTATATAAACACAGCTGCGTAAATGTTAGCATTTTTTTTATTTAAGAAGAGGAAAGGGAGGGGGGGTTAAAACAATTAGCACGCGTCTCTGCCACATAAATTGCTTCCTGGCCTTCCCTGGGATTGTTGGGGGGGGGAAGACCTGCTGGAAGTGTGTGTGTGTGGGGGAACAGGCCGTTCCTCTGCAAGCCCTTTTGCTTTGGGGTCCGGTCCCAGCGGGAGCTTAGAAGCAGAAGGTGCGGGACGGGCGGTGGTCTCTGCTTCCTTGGCACCGGATGCCTCGTTGTTCAGCCTGCCGCATCTCTCAAAAGCAGCCAGGCGGTCCTTGCTTTAATCTGCCCCCCCCCCGCCCCCCTCCAGGAACAGGCTTCTGTAGCCAACGCCCCGCCTGCCTCTAATCCTCACGAGTGTGGAGGGGACTTGGACGGACAGGCAAAAACACTTCCACGCCACTTATGGGATTTTACGAACTGTCCAACGTCATTATTATCAGTTAGGGGACAGATCCGGCGGCCTCCCCTCCCCCGGCACTGCCTTCGCATTGCGACTGGCCTAATTATGTGTCGACATTTTATCGAGGGTTTTTTTTTTTTCAACAAGCCTGACCCTCCAGGGAGCTCTCCATCAAAACTGTGGCCGGTGAGGGGAAAGGCCGATTCAGCAGACAGGGCTTCTCTTTCCATTCCGATGAGAGCCAGGAGGTCAGGCAGAGGGGCCCCAGGAGAGAGGACACGCGAGGAACACCCTCAGGGAGCCCCCTTCCCCTGGTCCCCGGCCCCCTGGCCCCCCCCCTGGACTGTCTTGCCCACTCACTGGACCCCTCCAGGGGCTCAGGCGGAGGCCTTCCGTGTCCCCTGTCCCCTTTCTGGACCAGAGATGTCGGGGATTGAACCAGGCCAGGCAGAGGGTCTGCCACGCAGCCATGGCCCCTCCCCAAAGGGGAAGCTGCTTTCTACAGAACCGGGAGAAAAGAGTCCAGGAGCACCTTGGAGACTAGCAGAAGCCGTGGCAGCGGAGGAGCTTTCGGGAGTCACTGCAGTCACGTCTCCAGGTACCTCACGAAAGCTCCTCCCCTGCCACGGATTCTGTTTGTCTTTCAGGTGACACTGGACTCTTGCTCTTTTCTACTGCGACAGACAGGCTCACACGGCCACCCGTCTCCATCTAGGGAATCAGACTCTTTGTCCATCCAGGTCAGTATCGTCTACTCAGACTGGCAGCCGCTCTCCAGGGTCCTCGGCAGAGAGAGGTCTTTCCCGTCACCTCCTGCCTGGCCCTTTTTAACTGGAGATGTCAGGTATTGAACCTGGGACCTCCTGCATGCCAAGCAGAGGCTCTGCCACTGAGCCACGGCCCCTCTTGACAGCTCTCCAGGGTCTCAGGCGGAGGTCTTTCCCATCACCTCCTGCCTGGTCCTTTTAACTGGAGGTGCTGGGGACTGAACCTGGGACCTTCTGCATGCCATGGAGATGTGGTGCTTTCTGCCTGACAGCTCTCCTCTGGGCAACCGGCTCTTCCGCCATCATCTTTGTTTTAAGGTTTTAAATGAACCCAGGCTGATGAGCCGAGTTGGGCAGCCAAGTGCCTTCCAAGCCGCACATCCCTGCGCTTGTGCTGCCCTCTGCTGACCACCTGGCAAACTAGCAGGTCAGTTGCTGGGTGGGTGGGTGCTGTGCCTGTGAATTCCTTAGCTTGGGCTGCCCCAAGGGAAATGCCGCAGGGCAGAGTGTAGGTGCCAAGGGGCGCCCTGCTGGGTGGGGGGCAAAGAGTCTTTCTTTCTTCTCTCCTTCCTCTCTCTCTCTCTTTCTTTCTTTCTTCCTCTACTTCTTTCCCTTCTTTCTTTCCTTCCTTTGCTTCAGAGTCCCATGGCCCCTTCCCTGGCGTCTGGGCGTCCCCCACACCCACTCGAAACAGCTGGACAAAGGGCCTCCGTCCTCTCAGCCCCAGGAGGAAAAGGGCAGCTTCCCACACCCCTAGCCCCCGCTCTGCAGGGCAGAACACGTGCTCCTACTCTGTGGCAGTCCCATGGCGGTGGGCATTTGTGGAGGCCTCGGTCACTCCTCCCTTCATCCCTCCCTCCCTCCCACCCCCAGCCAGGCAGGTTGCTTTCTGTTTTCCTCCTGGGACTGACAGCCTTTGCAAGGATCCAGCCACGCGGGACCAGCACAGAGTCACCGAGACGGGGGCAAGGAAGGACGAGTGCAAACTACTTTGCCAGCTCCTCTCTCTTTTTTGTTTTTCCAAGCCAGGCATCAAGATGTTTTAAATAAAGATGGGGGAAATGCGTGATGGCTCTGTCCGCGGAGCCCTGCTGCTGCTGGCCCCGGAGCGCCTCTCTCCTCCAGCATCCCAGGTCCCATGCTCCCCCCCCCCAACCAGTGTTCCCTCTAAGCTGAGTTAGTGTGAGGTAGCTCACAGTTTTTTAGCCCCCGGCTCATGCATTTTTGCCTTCTCTCAGGCAGGACGTCTCCAGAGCAGACTAATTGATGCAACAGCCAAATCGCTCGCTCACAACTCTAATGCCAGTCGCTCACAAAGTAGAGTTTTTGCTCACAGGACTCCACAGCTTAAGGGAGCATTGCCCCCAACCCCCCTACAAGGACAACAAATCAAGGCATGAAGGCCAAAACCAGCTCCCCGGCAAAGGTAGGCTGCCACTGGACAAGGAGGCTCCTCTGAGCCCCCGGTGGGCCTAACCCTGTGGGATCACAGATGGCCATGTTCACCAGAACTCTTCTTCAGAGGGCGTGTTAAGCAAAATAAAAAAGGTGGTGGTGGTGGGGGAGAGAGAACATAAGAGGGGGCCTGCACACCAGGTGGCAGAGCCATGCCAATACCTCCTACAGCTGCCCCCTGCAAGGGGAACTGGCTCCACCTCCTGTCCTGGGCCTGAATGACGCCTTTTGACCCCAACCAAAAACAACCTTCTGCGCCCCAGAAGTTGTTTGTTTGCAGGGCAGTCCTCAGAATCAAGGCTCCCCTCTGAGCCGTGGAGTCCTCCGTGGAGTCCTCCTACTTTGTGGAGCTCCTGGCATTCAAGCTGTGAGCCAGCGATTTGGCTGCTATGTAGTTTGCCGTGGAGCCCTCCTTCCTGAGCTAAGGCAAAAGTCTACGAGCCGGAGGCTAAAAAACTGTGAGCTGGCTCACACTCCCTCAGCTAAGAGGGAACAAAGCCCCCCACCCCAGCCGGCCGCAGTGTGCTTCCCTGGACCCAGCCTCTTGCCTCAATGGCTCGGGGCAAACGCCCGGCTGTTGGTCTGCAGGGTGAACAAAGAACATGTGATCCGGCTAACCTGGAGAGAAACAGGACCGGCGTTCAAATTCAGTCAGCTCTCCAAGACGGCTGATTAGCTCAGATGTCTTTCTAAAGAGGAGAATAATTGAAAACAGGGGCTTTAAATTGATTGGGGGGGCGGCGGCTTCCTGGCAGTGCTTCTTCTCGCCAGCCCAGAAGGCCTGCCTGAGTGCTGACACAGGGGGCGGGGCGGGGGCCCCCACTTGGTGTCCAGATGTGGGGCACGGTTGCTCTGACGTGCGCTCACTGGCTGGGGTTATCAGGGAGCAGGGCGATGGAGCGCCTCGGTCCGTAGTCTCATAGCTCTGGAATCTCTGGTGTTTCCTTTCATCAACGCTCCCGGCCCCTTCCCTTGCAGACATGAGACGGGGGGAGGAGGCTGGGGGAGCTGAGAAAAGTGAGTCGTGAATCAGTGTCCCCTCTAAGCTGAGTGAGCGTGAGCTAGCTCACAGTTTTTTAGCCTCCGGCTCACACTTTTTTGTCTCGGCTCAGGAAGGAGGGCTCCAGAGCAAACTAATGTATGCAGCAGCCAAGTGGCTGGCTCACAACTCTAATGCCAGAAGCTCACAAAGTAGAATTTTTGCTCACAGGACTCCACGGCTTAGAGGGAGCGTTGGTCGTGATCACGGGGGTCTTCGTAAAGCCTTGCTACCACGGGGGCTGGCTGCGGGGGAGGCAAGAGGACCCAAAGGGCTTTGCAGTGGGAAACACAGACCTGCGGGCGCAATCAGAAGTGGGCCCCAAGAAGGTGCCTCCGTGGGCCAGGAGGTGGCCAATGCCAGCCCTTGAACTGAAGCAGGAGACTGTAAGGAGAAGCCAAGGGCCGGATGACTCCGGGTGGCAGAAGAGGCCGGCAGCCAGGCTTGAGCCCTGTGGGAGGGGGGGGGGGAGAGGGGGGGGGGGAGGAGGGGGGGACATTGTGAATTCTACCTTGTGAGCTACTGGCATTAAAGTTGTGAGCGAGCGACTTGGCTACTGCATAAACTAGTTTGCTCTGGAGCCATCCCTTCCTGAGCGGAGACAAGAATGTGTGAGCCGTAGGGTAAAAACCTGTGAGATGGCTCACACTCACTCAGCGCAGAGCGAACACTGCTGGCTACCCCAGGGCTGTGGGAAGAGAAGAAGAAGAGATTGGATTTATACCGCACCCTTCACTTGGAGTCTCAAGGCAACTTACAAACTCCTTTCCCCTTCCCTCCCCACAACAGACATCCTGTGAGGGAAATGGGGCTGAGAGAGCTCTGACAGAAACTGCCCTTGAGATAACAGCTCTGAGAGAACGTGTGACTGACCCAAGGTCATCTGGCACATGGAAGAGATGGGACTCAAACCCGGTTCTCCAAGATTAGGGTCCGCGCTCCTTACCACTACCCCAAACTGGCTGCAGCCACCCCCACCAATCGCCTCCCCACACGTCCACCGCTCAAAGAAGAAACCTCTCTTGTTTCCCCCTCCAGGAGGTACTAAAAATGCCAGAGCAACCCCAGAGGGCGCTACAGAACTTGGGTCTGTGTGTTCCATTGGCGAGGGGGCCCAGGGCTGCCTCTCGCCTTCTCCCCTCTCAGAGGTTTCGCTTACAGTTTCACCTCTGCAAGGAAACCCAAGGGAACGCCCTGGCCGTTTCAGGTGAGGGTGGGGGCTCTCTCATGCGCACACGGCGGA